ACGAGGTTCCACAATGTCAAGGCCCTGAGGCAGACCTGTCTCTTATACACATCTAGATGTGTATAAGAGACAGGTCACAGACTTCTGACAACATCTACATGACCGAGAATAAAGCGCCTGCAGCAGCCGGCGAAGGTCGCACTAGAGGAGGATGGATGCGCTCATCACCTCCTCTAATGACCCGAGGCTTAAACGGAAAATGGAAAAGAAAAAAGACAGAATAGAGCGAGAGATCATCTGGCTCTACCATTTCCCTCCCTCCCAAAGGTGGGGTGAGAGCAGCCGCATATCCCAGAGCAAAGCTTGGCAGAAGACCCCCATATTGTGTGCCGCTTTCTCTCCAGTTCTTGTCATGCCCTTGCACATGGACTTAGAGATGCATCGAGTTCCAAGTCTGAGGTAAACAGCGGCATCTGCCAATCCGCTCCAACGAGTCGGCAACAATAAACATTTCTAATGATGATGGCCTCAGAAAAAAGGCAATACGCCCCACTGCAAAGGGGCAAAATGCCAGTTCCGTTTGTACACGCATTTCGAGAACAGCAACACGACACTGGCCAGCTCCCTTACGCCCAAGTTCCAAGTCTGAGGTAAGTGGCGACATCAACCAATCCTCGACTCGAACATAACGATATGCGAGAATAATGGACCAAGCAAGGAGTCAGCTTCGTTCAAAAGCGCACTTCGAGAACAGCAATGCGACATTGGCCAGCTCCCTGACCGCCGCCCCTGGGTCCCGGCAAGCATGACAACCATGAAATGAAGGACACAATCTGGCCCTGATCTTGTACCTCTATGAGGGCACACAGCTCAGGGTTCAGCCTTCCAGGCTACAGAAGGCACATGCGGCGCCGTCAGCACTCCTCCTCAGTGCCTCTTTGTTCCTTCCGCAGGTGCACAGACTCACTGAGTTAGCCCGTTTTTTTTCCTCCTAATTTAGGAAGTCTCGCGAGTTCTCGACGCCCTAACGAATGACATTGGATTTTTCTTGTCTTGTTGGTAATTACACGCACTCCTGCTCTGACATGTGTGCTGCAACAAGCCCGTTGCACAGGGGGAAGCCAGGGCAGCGACAAGTATAATCCATGGAGGGTAGGAGGGTAGGAGGGTAGGAGTGGGAGATATCTCACGTACCAACTGTGCCGCGAGGGGCAGGATCCGCTTCCACATCGTGAACGGACCATTGATCGATAAAAAACTTGTTAGACAGCGGCGGTGGAGTTCGGATGCCCTCAAAACTAGGGAAAAAGTCACTGTCGTGATCTATGACCTCGTCATCAAACTCCTGCTGCTTTTTGGAGGACGGTGTTTTCTTGCCTACACCCTTCGCCTCCCTTCCTCCCATCTTCCTGTTACCTCTCAGTTCCTTCATGTCCAAACTCAGTGAGGAGCGTGATCGCCACTGCTTTGCAGCCGACAAGGATTTTCCAGATTTTCTGTTGCCTCCTGGAGTGGATGAAAGCTCATTTGCAGGAGGAGGTATAGGCTGAGCCGTCGGCTTCTCCGTAGCAGCAGCTGCTGCCGTAGGCGCAGGGGGAGCTCCGGATAATCGCTCGCACACCACTTTCACACACACGTCTCTTTTGCTTCCATTCTCTTGCACTCCTGGAGAACCCGCGGCTGGCAACTGGGGACAGGCGCTCCCATTTTTGGCAGGGGATTTGTCATTCCTGTGCACACTGCTGTTTCGCCGCCCCCGCGCCATCCTCTGGCCAGCTTCAAGGTCCTTACCTCCTCCTGGGGAGACCGGGGGCGAAAATGAAAAATCGCCCGAGTCTTTCGATGATGATGGCAGGAAACTCCTCGCATCCACAAAGACGTCCTCTTTGCTGGGTTGTGGCACGTGTATATCGCGGTCGCGTCGATCCGACGGTGTGAGCTGAAGATCAACTACGTCCACACCCGTGGAGTGCGAGAGTTCAAGAATGCTGACAACTTGAGACATTGCTGGACGCGATGATGCTATCTCATTCACGCATGCAAGCGCGACTCGGATGGTGGTTCGCACTTCCACTTCGGGGTACCTACCCTTCAGTCTGGGATCAACAAGCCGCTGCAGACATCCCTTTTCAAACAAGGGCTTCACCCACTGCACAATGTTCAGCGCGACACCATCTCCCGATTGGCCGATCGGGCGGCGACCGGTGACTACTTCCAGCAGGAGGACCCCAAAGGAGTATACATCACTCTTGTCTGTCAGCTGGCCAATCACTGCATACTCCGGAGCAAGGTAGCCCAGCGTTCCCGCGATGTTCTTGGTTGTGAGGTGATTCTCACCCTCCGGAACCGTCCGTGCGAGTCCAAAATCAGACAGCTTCGCATTGAAATCCTCATCCAAAAGAATATTGCTTGCCTTTATATCCCGATGAATCATTCGAGGATGAACAACCTCATGCAGATATGCCAAACCTGTTTCGCACCACCAGCCAGCGCCGGCACGCCACACAAAGACACAACAACACCACAAAACGTCAGCACACAATGATAAGCCTCAGATGACCACCACATCCAAACCTCTGTCTCCCGCTGTGTGCCAAGCTTTGCTGAACTGCCAGCGGCGGGACTCTCTTTCTTTTTTGGTTGGCAGCACCAGCCAATGCGGTCCAGCTTCCCCAAACCCCTGAAATTTTTGGAGTGGCTCGAATTCGATTCTCAAGTTGGCTGGGGTCGTCCTCTCCGTCTACGGCCCGCGGCGCTGGACTGAGCTTCCAACCTTTGCCCCACCTGACCACATAGTCCGTCTGGACCTGGAATCCTGGATTCAGGTACCTCGCTGCATCGGCTACCGCTGGAGCAGGTATGAAGCCTGCAGATGCGGACACAGTCTCCTGCGTGCATTAGCGCCAGGGCTTGTGGTACCCAGGGCTATTTCTGTCCTGGTGGCTGCATTAGCGCCAGGGCTATTTCTGTCCTGGACTGAGGACAGAAATAGCCCTGGCCCTAATGCACCGAACAAATATCGCAAGCACACTGCAGCCACCAGCAGAACAGACTCCGAAGAAGCACCTCCACAAGCAGAGGCCCACCGGGCCACCGCAACAAAACATGTCTCTCTCCAAATACGGACAAAATCAGTCCATGCAACAATAAAGCAACCCATATATGGGGGGGGAGAGGGGAACGACGCCCCGATTAGCATGGCCTCTGAGCAAATAAATGCATGCCCAGATCATTAGCATGGCCCCTGCACAAGACTGAAAAAAAAAACAAAAAAAAACAAAGAAAAAAACACGCAAAGATAAGGACAAACCCACGCCATGAAACATGCAACTGAGAACAATGTAAGATCCAAACCGTCCAAAAAAAAAAAAAAAAAAAAAAAAAAAAGGTCCAAACCGTCCCCAGGTCCAAAATGATTGCCGCCAGCCAAGGTACCACCGCCTAGGTCTGGGCAGCGACGGCTCTACCAATGCCTTAATTAATAATTAGGCCATACCTTGGGCAGCAGCCATCATTTGGGACCTTGAAGTTTGCCTGCTGTTGCATGCAAATCTGGCTCTTCGTCATCTGGTTGCAATCTTTCAAAATCAGATCGCACGCTTTGTTCTATAAAGCGACTACGCCGGGAAGATGTGTAGCAGCTGGACAGGGGATGGGGGAAATCAGCAGGTAATCAGGCAGTACAGCAATGACCCAACTCAAACCTCTCCGCCACATGCGCGGTATCCACTCCCGGGGACCGCAATGGGACCGCAACAATTAGTTAGTAGTGCTGGGCGAGGCCCCGGCAGCTCGTATTAGAGATATGCCAGTGCTTCTCCTTCCTTAGCTTCAGTCGGCCGCACAGATGAGAACAGGCTTCAACAAAACCACTCAGCCACATGTCGCTGCCAGCCACATTTTCCTGTGTGGCAGCAGATGAGGCTGGCTTTGAACAAAACCTGCCGGCCAAAGGTTGCTCTTCAGCACACTTTCCTGTCGTGTTTACATGAAACGAAAAACAACACAATCACGGAAGTTCATCATCCCTTTTTTGAAGGTTTTTCCCCCCTTCTGCCTAGCCTAGGTTCTAATCCCCTTTCTGGCGACACCCCCCCCTTCGGGAGCTGGGTTTCCAGCTTAGCATAAGAGTCATTTGTATGCCCAGGAAGCCAAGGAAATGTCGCCATTTTCTACTCTATTTAAGGTTTGAAAAGCGCGACTGCCTTGAGATATCATCATCGAACTGACGGGCCATACGTAATTCAGAATGGGAGTCTTACACTCATCCGCTTCCAGTGGAGTTCGAACTCTTTTCATCAACCGTTCAGGGGGGGGTGTACCCACTGTACTGCCATTTCTATTCTGTTTATAGCTGGTGCCTCAAACTTAGATAAGAGGCATGCTTTTTCCTTCATCGACTATTTCCTGATTTTAGGGACACTAATGGGGACAGCCAAAAACGCCGAGATCATGGCTCTCACACCATAACCGGGTCTGGATCATAAACCCATCAAACTAATAATCAGCTTCGAACAGTATGTCAAGAAGGGGTCTAGCTTTCACAAACTCAATAGCTCCCTCCTACTGAGCCGGAATTTTCAATTAGGAGTTCAGGATTGCTGGCAGAATTTAAAGGGCACCTACCTACCTATACAGGATCGATAGGAGTGGTTTCAGGAAAGCTACTCCACATTATCACAGACGGTAGCAAAAATATCAAGGAAATTAGCGGCCGACAGGAAACAGAGGAAGCAAGCAATGGAGACAACCCTGAAGATCGCAGAGACAAATCTGATCGATAAGCCCTCTTTCGACACTCTACAGAGATCTTTGAAAAGGCAAGAGAATAACTCACTATGTGGAGATGGTGGGAACTAAAGGGACTACAAATAAGAGCCAAAATAAACAAATATGAGCTAAGCGAGTCAATGTCAAAATACTTCTTCGCAAGAATCAAAGCAAACTCAAGGGCCAATGCGATAGAAGGCCTGAAAAACCTCTCAAATCCAAATGAAACAGTGACAGACAGCACAAGAATGTTGAATCTAGCAAAGGAATTCTACGAAGAGCTCTACCACACGAAGACCCTTATGCCTACTCCGCCCAGCACTAGAGAGGCACGGACTAGGATGCTGCAATACCTGGAACAAATGATATCTCAAGAACAAGCAGAAGACCTGGACAAGCCCATCACCCTGGAAGAACTGCAATTTGCTGTCAAAAATATGAACAACAATAAGTCTCCAAGAATCGACGGGCTGACGAAAGAATTCTGGGAAAAGTTATGGCCGCTCTTAGGAGGAGATTTGCTAAACTTTTACAACGACAGCTGGCTCAAGGGGGGGCTAGGAAACCTACTGAGTAGCAGCGTGGTAACCTTGTTGTACAAAAGAGGAGAGAGAGAAGATATCAGGAACTATAGACCCATCTCGCTTCTAACACTTCCGTATAAGATCCTTGCCAAAGCTCTTGCCTTTCGAATCCTAGACCTGTCAGACAAGTTCTTTCATATAGATCAAACAGGTTTCATCCCTGGGAGGTACATCCTACATAACGTATTGACTCTCAGCGAAGCAGCCAACAAAGTCAAAGAAAAATATATAAACACAACAATTCTTTTTTTCGATTTTGAAAAGGCCTATTACCAAGTCAACTGGGCATTTCTCAATGCAAACATGGAAAAGATGGGAGTGGGCCCCAATTTTAGGAAGTGGGTGCACATTCTGTATAATGACGCCGTAGGGTGCGTCCAAGTTAACGGCTTGCTCTCTGACTGCTACCCAATCTCTTGGTCAGTGCGCCAAGGGTACCCGCTAGTTCCCCCAATCTTCCTCTTTGTTATGGAAGCTATAGCCTCATTCCTACGCAAAGACCCCTCCATACACAGACTACCAGAGGTCAATGCAAGATCAACCCACCACATGCAGTTCCCAACAGTAATAATGTTTGCAGACGATCTCACGATCCTCATAAGAGCTTCAGACTCATCGTTCAGCGCGTTAGTAAGAGCAATGAAAGCGTTCAGACTGGCATCAGAAATGAAGATTAATTGGAAGAAAACAGTCAACTCGTGGCTATCGGAGGACGAGGTTCCACAATGTCAAGGCCCTGAGGCAGACATGACATGGGAGACACCGGAGACACCTACGCGATATCTAGGCATCTTGCTGACAAAGGATGGCCTCGCCCCTCAAATGACCCAAAATATACTCACCAAACAAATTAACAAACTCGGCAGATGGGGTAATACATTCACATCATTGTTGGGGCGTGCACTAGCCATTAATACATTTATTTTCTCTATGATGTGGTACATAGCGTCAATCTGGACCATTCCGGACCAGACAATCAAGGAACTTAATCGTAAAGCAAGAGCATACTTATGATCAGGTGACCCAAACAAAGAGAACTGCATACCAAAGATAGCTTGGCATTACATCACTAGGAAACCAGCCAAAGGAGGTATTGGTATCATAGACCCCAAACAAGAAACCAAAGCCTTACAAGTCAAATGGATAGTCAAACTACTGACTAAACCTGGTACGACATGGAATAAACTGGCCTTAGATAGCATTAGGGCCCTAGCACCTACACACCAGCAAATATGTCCAGACTGTTCTGGGTAATGACCAAGGAATGGAGTCCAAGGACAGGGCGCAGAAATCAACGAAGAGGAACCGAGCCAAATGAAGCCAGACCCCCTACCCCATATTGGACTGCATTGTTACGGATATGGCGGGAAGTCATGCCAAGGAAAGTGGGTAGACCCAAGTCCAAAGAAGAGGTACTGAGGCAACCCTTGTTTGGTAATCCGTGAATGAGAGATGAAAGTGATCACCAACTATCCCTTAAGCCTAGAGGAAGGAGATGGTTATCATGGATCAAACATGGAGTTTGGAAAGTGAGCCATCTGTGGAACGAGGAGAAAAAAGACTGGATGACAGACCAGGAACTTGCCTCTCACCTCGAAGGATGTCACCAACGGGATGAGAACTTACAATCTATTATCAACTGCATCCCAGAAGGCTGGACGAAGTTGTTAAGCGAAGTCTCAACTTGGAAATCGGGTGAACGCGGAGTGAGGGCGCAAGATTTAAACCCCACAAGAGCCTATCAATTCTCCCATAAACAGCAAGGGCAGTGTTTACCTCCTTCCCAATTACCCCCTCAACGCAAGGCCTTCCATCCATCATGAATAAGGAGGTGGAAAAAACAGTCCTAAATCCGTTGATACTCGGAAAGGTCAGAGTGCTGGGTTCATGGCCAAAAACAATCTACAGAATAGATACGGCGACTTGGAATTTGATCCAGCAGAGTGGGCTTGGACACCAGACCGAGGTAGAGGCCTCAAAGCTAATAATGTCTCCATTCAGGAATACACAGTCAAGCTGGGTTACAACTTATTCCTCAAAACAAAGGATCCTGAACCAACGATCAAGAACAGATGGCAGAAGCTACTAGGTCAAGACGCTAGTCAGATCCCACAAATACCATGGAAAAAATTCAAGTCAATTCGCCCGGTCAAAATCAGAAGCCTACAATGGCTTATCTCATACGTAGCTCTGCCGTCAAGCAGTGGTTACATATCAGAAGAAGCAAGAATGACCGTAACAGTTCAGATTATGCGCGGTATGTTCAGAAGATGAACCAGAAGATATGATACATTGCCTGATACGCTGTAGAGAGGCGACCGAATACTGGGCGAGGACCTCGGATCTCTGCGATTCCCTCTTCTCGTTTCCTCTCCCTGAACAGCCCATCCAACTCCTTCTATGGACTAACATCCCAGCTCAATTCCACAAGACAGAGAAGACGTGGTTTGGAATGATCAGAAAGGTAACTTTGTTGTCCATCTGGAAGGATAGGTGCTGTAGAACCATTGAGGACTCCACGATGCGGGAGTAATCAATGCTGGTCAGGGTTCCTTCGGCCGGACGGAAGGAAGTGTGAGTGTGTGTTATGATGTAATATTTTTTTCTGACTTGCCGGTGGAATAGGAACCGGACTGATGCTCCCCAGAATGGAAATGGAGCCAGGGCCGTAAGGACCTGTTTCCAAAAAAAAAAACAAAAAAAACAAAAAAACAAAGAAAGGTATGGTCTGCCCCTTGAAGTTGAGAAAATGAATTCACCATGAGGATAGTCCCACGAACCGTTCTTCGACGTTGGAGCCCCGGAACAGTTGGCCCCAAGCTACAGTCTTTTAAGAGCGGTGGCAGAGGGATAAAAAATGTTCGACCCACCCGCTGGGAGGAAGGATGTTATTATTAAGAAAGAAAAGCAGTAGCCTCTTCAGTTCTTTTTTACTTTCTGACGGAGGAAAGCAAGGGATGGCTCAACTTCAGGCTAGCTAGCCCCAGCAGGCAACCATCTTCCCCTGAACACAACACACCCTGTTTTTGAATGTATAGTATTTGCATACAAGATATCTGCGAGGATTCTTCCCCCTCGGCATACCGGCATACGGCCACTGCAGCAAATGCGTGCCCGCCCTAAGTGAAGGCAGGCCCCCGAATCTCAATGAGCCCTGACACTCGTCAAAATTTGCAAATCTTGTCGGCGGCGAGACAGTTGCCACGCGCCAGTTGGTTACATCCGCTTTGCTCGTGAGAATCTGAAATATATGTGAGCCTTCGAGGCTCTCCAGCAACGTCGTGGAATCCGGGAACACCGCACGTTTGTGCCTGGGTGGTTGGGCTCGGCTAACCAATTCGGTCCCAGGGCACGGTCGGAACGGGCCTGACTGCAGACACTTTGGCCGAGACTAAAGCTACTGGAAACTCGGTCTCACGGGGCAAGCCAATGGCAACGAGCCCCCCACTTTCCATATAGGAAAGGGCCGGGCTGCATAGAGGGGATTCCGGCAAATGCAAGTGCGAGCGGCAGCGCTGCTGGAGCAAAGGCTCGCGCGTGGCCGCGTGCTAACGCTGCATAGGAGCCGCGAGTGTGGTCGTGGGTAGAACAGGGCGGTGCGTCCAGGCAGTGCCGTAGCCAGTCTTCATAGCCAGGCTGGCTTGGACGAAGGTCAGCGGGGGTCTAGTGGTGGTCTTCAAGTATGAGGGAGAGGACGTGGGTGAAGAAGACGAGGGGAGAGAGAGAGAGAGAGAGAGAGAGAGAGAGAGAGAGAGAGAGAGAGAGAGAGAGAGAGAGAGAGAGAGAGAGAGAGAGAGNGATGTGAGGGCGCATACCTGGTCTTGGCGATGGTCTATAGGGTTGACATCTTCATGCACTTCGGTGGTTGCTGCTGACGTCAACAGGTTGCATGGTCAATTCGTAGGCTGGGCAGTAGCTGTGTGATCGTAGTCTGGGCGCTGAGCGCCGAGTAGGAGGAAGGGCTCCGGATACATACGTTGGTGGAGGCGAGAGTATGCTCTCATTGACATTCGGATTCGGTGCTTTGGTTCTCCGTCGGTGGAATATCAGTGCATATCTGCTTTCTGGACAGCGTTCGACCTCCTGGCTTTCAATGTGATTTTGCATTCTGGAATTCTGTCATTTCGCTATCGCTCATTTTCCGTGCATATCTTTCCTGTCCGGCATGGCCATGATGGGGCCGCACTTTGTTTGGGGGAAGACTGCAGCTTTCTTCCTGCCATTGGCAGCTAACAGGCAGATCCATCAGGTGGATGGATTTCAGTTAGGTAGGTCGTGAGTTCAAACTCCGATGGATGGTAGACAGATCATGAGCTCGAACTCCCATGAATGGTCGGGTCTTCTCCCCCCCCAAAGAATGGTACACCCACATTACCGTTTGTAAAGAGGTCTCGAGTTCGAACTCCGATGGACTGATGATATCGGATGGATAGAACAGAGTCAAGGACACTGCCCACTTTACTGAAAACAGACTACTAGCCTGGGATCTGGTTGCAAAACCCAAAGTCAGGAAAAGGGTCTGTGCCAAAAACTGAGAGCCATGTGAGGACCAGTCCGTGTGAGGGGGAAATAAGGAGGGGGAGGTATCTGGACCCACATATGAGGCCCATACCTGGGACAGGCATCTGGAACCGCATAGCTGTCTGAGAGACTAAAGAGGATTGCCCTCCTCCCCGCACCCAGCCGTCATGCGAACCCTGAAAGCACCAGAATGGGCGACTGAGGAAGAGCCACTGTGTCTATGGAGTATGGACTCATTCTTGCCACCCAGCAGCGATTGTCACAGTCAATTTGAGTCAAAGCATTTCTCATGGATAAACAGGTGCACAGTGCACTACTAAAAAGACTGACCGCAGTTGTTCAGCGAACATTGAGCACTTGAACATTCTTGGGGAAGAAAATGGGTGTTCCAACTTCTTTAGAGGTAGAATGGAGTTCAGCGGTAAACACGCAACACTGCCAACAATAGAAACAAACACATTATGGCACATGGAATCACAAGACTCAAGATGGTGACAACACCAAGCAAATTCAAGAAGCTTCATCATCATCATCATCTTCATCATTATTGCACAGGAGACAAAAACATACTTTTTAATTTTGAACTACTTTGAAGCAGACTTTTTTTTTTCATTCTTTTTTTTTTTTATGCATACCTTTTGCCGCGCCCAGAACCACCTTAAACCGGTTCTCCCAGCTGAGTATCTGAGGCCTTTCGTTTGGCCGAGAGGATGGGCCCATGCCCTGAACACAGCCATGCAGTTGATCCTCCAATGTGCCCTTTGCCATGTAATCATAGACCAGAACCTTCCGTCTGCCTTCGGCGCAGCATCCCCGAAGTTTCATCAGGTGTTGATGGTGGACACGACTGATCGCATCAATCTCGCTGAGCCACTCCATCTCCCCCTGCCCCTTCGCTACATTGAGGTCCTTGACTGCGATCTTCGATCTATCTTTCAGGATCCCAAGGTATACCGTCCCATGACCACCTTTCCCAAGAATTCTCTTGTCACTGAAGTTGCTGGTCGCCACCATTAGCTCGTGCAAGCGATACCACTTTCCCCATCCAGACAGATGGGAGAACTCCGCCGAATCCTCTCCTTGTCTGGTAGTAACACAGGTGCTTCCGCGTAGCCACTGGAGCGGGGACAATGGTCCCACTCCCACAGCAATCATCAGAGACTTCTTGTCAGGCAATACGGTGGGACACTTGCCCCCTGCCTTCAAACTTCTAGAACTCGTTGTTGGGCTTTGCAAGCTCCTTTTCGAATCCTTCAGCAGGTGCCCTTCCCTCCTCCTCTTCCCCACTCGGATTAATGCAAACGCAATGCCGATCGCTCCCAGGAAGCACACAACCACACCCGCCCCTACTCCAGAGAGCAAGGAGAGTTGACCGCCTCCCGTACTGTTACTCGGTAAATGATCAGCCTGCGCCTGTCCTGAAGGCATGGCAGGAGTTTCCATAACTGATGTGCCCCCTTCATTGAGCTTGACGGACTCCGTACCAGGGGCGGAAGCTGTTGCCGCACCTGCTGATGCTGCACCAGCGCCATGTGGATGAGGATGAGGCAAGGAGGCAGACGCAGCCGCTTTCTCAATCAGATTATTCCCTTCGAGTGTTTGCCGACGAGCGCTGACGGCTTCGTCCAAGCCTTCTGCAAGCAAGTGTCTATGTGAAGCTGCTAGGGACCGGCTACGCCTCTGCCATTTCTCGCCTTTCCGTTGTGTCTGACGTCCCTCCTTGGGCTGCCTTCGTAGAAAATGCTGTAACGTCAACCACGAAGATGCAACACCCAAACGCTTTGAAGATTTTTCTCGAGCTGGCTCCTGTTCATTCGGAGACAGGGATGCTGCAGAAATATTTGTCACCTCCTCCGGAAGAACCTCCCAATCGCAAGGAGGAGCATTCGCAAAACCTACCCCACAAAGCCCTCTGTTCCCTTTGTATGAGAACCCCTCTTTCAGGCCAAGGAAACCTTTTGGAATAGCCCCAATCAGCTGATTTCCGTCCACACGGAAGATGTGAAGACGGCCATGTGCAATGGCCGCCTGAGGACGGCCAAAATCTGCTGCCGATGTTGTCTCGTACTCTTCCTGCCCATTGCTACTACTCCTGCCATCACGGCGAACCGCAAGATAGCTCGAGGCCTCCTCAAGGGGGTTTTGAACCAGCCAGCTAAGTTCCTGAGGCAATGGACCGATCAGGTCATTACCGTCCAGGTGCAGGCTGACGAGGTTTTCAAGCAAGGAGAGCTCACGCGGGATCTCGCCTGAGAGTCTGTTACTGCTAAGTCGCAGCTCGACGAGGGATGTAAGGTTGCCGATCTCCGCGGGTATCTTCCCGCGAATGTCATTTCCATCAAGAACTAACTTTTCGAGAGCCGTCAGCGATCCAAACGACGATGGAATCGTTCCACTCAGGGACCGGAAAGGCAGAACAAGGGCCGTGACTCGACCCTGGCCATTGCAGCGCACTCCTGTCCTCGAGCCGTTACAGAGATCAGCTGCCGTCAACCACGATGCTAGCCGGGTGCCGCCCGGATCCAAGACTCGTCTCGCGTTAAGAAGAACGCCCCGATCTTCTGCAAGGACAGGCCAGAAGAACAAAATAATGGACACAAGCTCCAGCCAGCAGAATGCAGCGTGCAGAGAGGGCCCAGCCGCAACCATCCCGTACCTTGCATTGGGGCGGCGAGCCTCTGACCAGACTCACCAGATCACAGCTCCTCGCCCACCCCTTCTATCAATGTTGATGAAGCATTGGATAAGCCGGCGCTTTCACATTTGAGATGAACCAATCTGACTGGAAATGCTCCGTTGTATTTGAGGACCCTATCCAAGGTGCCCCGCACATTTGAAGGCTACCGACATGCAAATTCACTCCCTGCCTGCCTCTTATATTAACGTCGAGGAAGCATGGAATAACCGGAGCTTTCACATTTGTGAAGAACAGACCAGTAATCTGACTGAAAAATGCTCATTCTTTATACTTGAGGAGCTTATCGAAGAAGATCCCCCGCAAATCTGAGGCTACCGACATGCAGACTGGCAGCAAAATTATCGCACATTTTCACCAAACATGTCCGCAGACGTCGATATTAGCGCACAGACCAATTTTGAGCCCCTTGCTTTCTAATTCAACATGAATGCATCTGCAGGGTAGTATGCAATCATCAAAAAGTCTCATTTGCTTTCCTCCCATTTATAAGGTTTAATTAATTACTAATTTTGCCCACAAATGCAACGTTAAACAGCACTGCTACAACACACACAGAAATCGTCATAGCACAAAAACATATATGATTTCCTACTCCATTTTTCCCCTTATTGACTCTGTGTCCCAACGAAACACGCATCCTATCCAAAAGAATTCCGGGCACAACGAATGACAGCCATAGGAGGACAAACTTCTTCAAACAACCAATTCAAAAACAGAAGTTTTCACTTCAATCAACAGTCGGGTTCCTGTTACTCCTTTGCTGAATAACTATGTCAGCCAAGTTGAAGTTCGTATTCAGCCAAGGCAACATACGAAGAGGAGTCACATACACACACACACACACACACCGTTTCTGTTCATCTGGTTGTGTCTGGATTTGAACTTGGGTCTGTATTTGAACTTGGGTCTGGATTTGAACTTGGGTCTGTATTTCAACAGTTTCTGTTCATCTGGTTGTGTCTGGATTTGAACTTGGGTCTGTATTTCAACAGTTTCTGAGTGAGCTAAGTAGGCCAATTGGTGTACCTCCAAACGTTTGGAAAGGAATTTACAGGTGGACATTGGGACACCCTTTACGGCATGGGACACCCTTTATCGCATGGGATGCCCTTTATGGCATAGGGCACCCTTTATGTCGCTACAGCACCGGACACCCTTTACGTCTCTATAGCATCGGACACCGTTTACGTCCCAAAGTGTACCATTTTGATTCCAGCCTCCAAACATGTCACATCCACAAAATTGTTTTCCAAGAGTGTGCTCACTCCACTGCAGCCCCCCACCCGCACCCCAGGTTTCCCTCACTCCTTGGATTTATCTGAATTGCATAGAAACATCCTTTGAAGTTGGAACGATACAGAGAACATTAGCATGGCTGGCCCCTGCACAAGGAAAATTAAATAAATAAATAGAAAGGCCCTGTGCCAAACTTGCGCTTCTCATTGAGCTTGTTATCCGTATCCAAATCCCACAACAAATAGAGCAGCCAACATTTACAAAAATGTGTCGGGATCTGAAGGCCTTCTGTATGCATACACCTCAAAGGCCATCAGAGGTGGGCCCCAAAACTGAGAATGTACGCTGGCAAATGCCTGCGTAGCAGCTGAAGAGCACACTTCTGCATCTGCACAAGTGCATTGAGCATTGCACTCGCTACAACAATGTCAAAGGTTGCCAGCTTACTGGCTWTTCGGCTGAATCTTCATCGTAACTCCATACCCCACTCAATGCAGTAATGCCAAGGGCATGCCTTCAGAAGACGGAGAAGGGTCAGTGCTGAAAAATCCAAGGGGCAGTGTTGAAAAATCCAAGGGGCAGTGTTGAAAAATCCAAGGGGCAGTGTTGAAAAATCCAAGGGGCATGTGAGTAATACTGAGTATTGCAATGTTCTATTCTGAACCCGGCAAACTATTGCACAACTGCCCTTCTTGRCAGTACGTCAGTTGAACATCGACACTTAACAAGGGCATATCAAAACAGGGCCCAGCTGAGATGAGTGAACCTTCTTTGTCTTTTCTTGACWTGGCTTTTCCTTTCAAAAAAGAGAGGAAAAAGGCAGCTGTTTTATTGATAAAACTGTGGAAAGCGGTCCAGTGTCCCTTACATCAGATATGCTCACCCGCAGCTTCTCTTTTTTATGGTCATAGGGGAGCCTGAGACAGCAGCATTGATTGCTTCCTGCCGCAGGGAGCACGYTTCAGTCCTTGACAGTAAAAGYGACTTACCGGATGCTCAGGGCCCGGGTGGACGTGTGGGCTGTAGTACAGTATATATAGATGGATGGATTTACTGCCATTCAACCCCTTCCCCTTTCTAGCCTAGCTGTAAGGAAAATCAGCAATGCGAATGACAGTAAAACAAAATTGCATCATTCTATAGTAATCCAGGAAACTTTAATTCCGAACTAACTAAAAGCAGATTGCACGACGAGATAACACCAGATGAGCAAGAGCGAAGCATCGAAGTCAACTGATAACRAAAGCCCCCTTCTCGCCCTTTCAACATCAATGTCCACAATGTCGCTCTCCTGCTTGGSACCCRGACTACAATCAGACGACTGCTATCGACCTTCGACCTCTATCTACAACAGGTCATGCACGAAGTACAGCAGCCCCATGACGAACAAAGACTCCACCTGAAGCTTCCTGCTCTTCGACACCAGGTAAGCACCTCCTCTCATCGCCCATATCTCGACTTTCCTCACACAGTCCCTCGCCCAAGGACCTCCTCCCAACCTCCTCCGGCTATGCGGGAGCACCCAGCTATGGCCGCTGCGCTCTCCTGCTGCGCCTACGCAGCCTCTTTCTCGCGGTGCACCAGYGCCTTCTTCCACCCTGCCTCCGTCCAGCCAGCCAGAATGTGGCAAGTGTGTGAGCCGCACTTGCTTTGTCCTGTCTGGCTGGTGATTTTATTTTTATTTTTTCTTACTTAGCTGCATAGTTGCRCCGCACCTCGGTGCGTGGATTTGCGCACGCGCAGTGCACCACATGGGGAAAATTAAGGGGGGAAAAAAAAGTCRGGGTTTCGTAATTTCCTACAGCACCCACCACGGCAAAAATGTTCAACTCGCTGCGCGAGTTCGGAAACCGTCGCGCCMTTGGCCCCAATTTTTTTGGGGGGGGCAAGGGCTGCTGAATTTGGAATTCCAGAGGCCCCTTCCCCAAAAATTTCAAAATCGCAGATCAAGAAAATAGGGCTCATTGAGCCTCATTCCAGTTTTCTTTTTCAGGCGGGGTGTGGTAACAGGCYTTCCCCCTCCCTTCTGCAAATCCCACACAGCGGTGGACGAATTTGCAAGAAGGGTATAATTGCCCAGTAATGCCCTGCCCCACACTGCTCACAGAAGTCACAGCATATGTTTGGTGAGGCCAGCCGACCACCAATGTATGCTGAAGATTGGYATTCAGGTCTGCATGTCGGCAGTTATGGGTTTGGATGCAGATGCCTGTAGCTCTCTCGTTTTTTCTTTTTGTTTTCTTATGAATACGGACAGTGGCCCAAGGGGCCTCTCGCCACTACTCACCACATGCACAAAAGACATACCATATGGCATTGTATAGTTCCATGTTTTAGCAGAAGATTCATTCTAATGTTATACATTTGGTGAGCGGTGGAGCTAGGCCCTGAGAATCACGTGGAGACGAACAGGGTCTAGCTGAATTGGTGACCCATAAMCCCTGAGCTACAGACCTGAACTCGCACCCACAGCATGTATTGGTGGTCTGCTCCCACCTCTCCCATGTATGGCACGGCCATCCTGCTTGCTGAGACCGACGGTCCTCAATATGTCCACAATGTCCAAGTGCATTGTCGGAGGCATTTGAGATACCTGGCATT